AAGTAGTCAGAGAACCGCTCTCCGAGTTTCGTAAGATGAAATTAGAAAAATTTCCCTATTACCCCAAAAAAAATTCATTTTTACCCCATTTTGGGTAATTTACCCCGACCGCTGATTTAGACAAACGTATCGTGTTACCTCTTCCGTATCGTCGGTGCTCAAGTTCCGTGAGAGCACATTCCAACCCATCGGATGAACCTGGATCGAACTGATGACTTCAGCTCTATTAGGGAAATCGGCAATGAATTCGATGCGATTCCTCGACCTGCCCTGATTGAACAGATAATTGAACATCGTCGACGCAGGAAATGTCTGATCACTTATCTGCATCAATCTATAAAGGTTAGGCTACAACCCAAACAAAACATTCATCAAATTTGAATTTCGTACACTTTTTTGTAAATATTTTCAATTTACCCGGAACGTCTTCATATCGTTGTACATCTGGAGCAGCTCCAGATCGTGCACCAGGATGAGGTAGCCGCTAGTAGTCGCTATGATCATCTTCGAGGCGTCCGGCGTCAACTTCGTCCTCATCAGTCCGTTCATTATGAAGACTTTCTCGTATGGATCCGCCGCCGCGCAGCTCATGTCCCAAGCGTATATGCTGCCATCGAATGCCGACGTTATCATCACCTTCTCCCTTTCTGAATATTCAATATTCTTCACCTGAAACACAACAATTTAGTAGTTATTAAGCTTTACTCACATTTATATCGATTTCTAAGATGTTAGATAACTACTATGTGTTTATTATATCGCTCTTGATTAGTTTCATTAGCTCTTCATAAGGAATTCATCAATTATTTATTCTGAAATATAGGCCACCAAAGATACGTGCGCGTTTTGACGACGTTAATTTGAAAGATCCATATGGTATTTAAAAAAAAAAGGAGAGATAATAAACGATCAAAATATGCGAACGCAACGAAAGTTGTTTTGACGGACATCTCTTGATTGATTGAAGCGCGTTTGTAAACAAAGATTAAAAAAGAATTGCGACGTGTTTACAATGCACATGCACATTATATTATTATTATCAACAACAATAGTTTATATTTGCATAATTGGAGATACTTACCCAATTCGAGTGACCGCTGAATGTCTGCTTGCACTTAATAAGATTCCTCGTGTCCCAAAGTTTTATTAAACCATCGTCGGAGCAGCTGGCGAACGTCTGCGAGTCCAAGAATTTAACGCAATTGACGCATTTGTCGTGTGCATCTTCCAACTTCCTTATGATCCTCTGATTGTATGTGTCGAAGAGTACACAAGCTTTGTCCTGGCATGCTGCGACCATAAGTTTCCTGATGCAAATAGAATTCGATTAGATGTTGATTGAGTTGATTGCGCAGAGACTTACCCGTCTTGGCTGAACTCCACGTTAAATACACCACCCTCGTCGACGCATTTGCTGGTGTACTTGCCATGGTCCTTGCCGATGTTAGTGTAAATCTTCTTGGACATTCCATCCTGATGCCCGAGCTTCCTCCTCAGGCCCAGCTCCCTGTCCCTGATGATCTTATAGTTCGAGTTGTAGTGCACTGATCGCCCATGTCCTGACATTGTAACAACAGTAGTCCCACCACATACACACGAGCACACAAAATGTTAACTGTTTTAAAAAAATAAATACAAACACCTCTTGTGTTGTGTTATTATTATTATACGGAAGTCGAATTTGAAGATTTGATTTTTTTTTTGTGGTTAACTCGACATGTCATGTCCTCGGATGAAATAGCGAAATTCTGCTTGCGATCGAGACTGAAGGAGAGATGAATCGAGAAACTTCTTTAGTTTTTTTTGAACTTGACAATAACAACAGCACAGAGCTACCAATGTTTACTTCCTCCACTCCGCTCAAACGCGAACTGTCATAGGATGAAAAAAAAAAGAGCGCAAGATTGCCAAGTTTAAGTGCACGCACGTCTTCGCTTCTCGTCCGCTCTCTTCGGAATGAGGCTTCGAGCGAACGACGATTGGCGTATATACGAACCGGAGGATTGCGAATCTTGAAAACACACGATCGATCCTTCCGCGAATTCGCCAGCGAACGAAAATCGGTTAAGGGTAGGTTCAGGGATGAAAATTTGGCAACGTCGCGTCTCTAACCCTTAGCAGACAACCCCCGAAGCAGGTACCAACTTTTCAAATTCCAAGAATTTTTTTATACCTTTCCTTTCCTTTCGGTATCTTTTTTTATCGAAGAAATATATCAAAACACGAAAATAGGAAAAAAAATGACAAAAAAAGGTTCTCTACAAATATTTTTTTAAATATTTATATAAATAAAAGGATTGTAAATATAATAAAGTTAATTAATATCAAAACACGAAAATAGGGGAAAAAAAGGACAAAAAAGGTTCTCTACAATTTTTTTTAAAATATTTATATAAATAAAAGTATTGTAAACATAATAAAGTTAATTAATATCAAAACACGAAAATAGGGAAAAAAAAAGACAAAAAAGGTTCTCTACTAATATTTCAAAATATTTATATAAAT